TGGTAGCTCTATCTTCAACTTTTTGAGGAACCTCCATACTGTTTTCCAGAGTGGCTGCACCAGCTTGCATTCCCACCAACAGTGTAGGAGGGTTCAAGGGAGGTGTTTCTTAACATGAAAGGTTGTTCACTAGATGGGATAGTTCCCAAAGATCTGGAAGGGCCCCATGCTGGAAATGTGCCTGTCTTTATGGAAAATAGCCTACAGAGAAAAGATTCCTGGAGCCTACATGATTTTTTGGTGAAAGACTTTATTTCTTACCCTCCTGGCCTAATTGTGTCCCCAAGAGCCCAATTCCATCCCAGAGCTCAGTTCCTCATTTATTCTTGTCACATAATTGGACTCTGGAAGATCTTCTCAGCACCCATGCTTTGGACAAATAGTAGACCTATTTTTTTTTTCTACTAGGCATTTATCTAATTCTGTAGAAAACCATCAACATACTCATGACATTGTTTGGATACCTCTGAAAACTTACTTCGATTTGGGAAATTTCAGCAGGAACTAGGACCAGCAGCTCAAAAGTGGATGCAGGAAAGGCAGCATCTGGTGCATGGTCAGCCCCTCAGGACTTCGCACACCCGCAAGGAAACATTAGGAAGGTAGCAATCTCAGCGTTGAGTCTGGGCTGAGAAACCCTACTTTTCTTCTTGAGAAATAGCTAAATTGCTTTTGAACAATGAATTATGGTCATCATAAAAAAATGTAAATGTATCTGAAAATACAAAGAAGAACATAACACTCTGGTTTCCCGAAAATAACCAGGGTTAAGCTCTTGACTGTGCTTCCACCCCGACCACAATGTTTTGGACATAGAGGTGTGCAATTTTCTGCAAACGGTATTAAATCATGCTGTGCAGACTAGTTTGTGACTTGTCTTCATTGATAGGCCATCACCACCTTTCTCCATCAATCCATACTGACCTACACATCATCATTTTTAATAGCTTAAAGAACTTCCTTACTGTAGCTACCGCAACTGGTTTAATCTTCTCCTACTGGTGAAGAATTTAGGTTTCTCCAGTTTAGTTACGTTAGAAGAAGTTCTGCAATAAATGTTCTTGAGGATAACATTTCTTTACTCTTCTAGGAAAGTCCTAGGAGAGAGAAAATGCTGAGCCAGTGGGCATGCACTCTATACATCTGAGACACGGTGCCAAACTGTCTTCTAGAAAGAGTCCCAACTCACACTCCCACCAACAGTTTATGAGAATATTTCTTGACTCACTTCCTCACTAACAATAGATTTTGCCAATATCTTTTAATATTTACCAGCCCAAGGGGCACCTGGGTGGCTCAGTTGGTTAAGCGACTGCCTTCGGCTCAGGTCATGATCCTGGAGTCCCGGGATCGAGTCCC